TGACACCGGGAATATCACCGACAGCATGACCCTTACGCCCGAATCCAGCAATCAACACCTCATCCTATAACCAAATATAGAGGCCCCATGAGTTCAGTAAAAGAGCAGGAAAAATCAAACCTAAAAATCTAGAATTAACTTGAAAATGCATAAAAGATTACTCACATTCTCTTCGATGAAGTTCAAGCAACCATCATTTGGCACAAAGGCAGCAATCTTCTTTCCATTTTTGATTAGTTGAACTCTAGCACACTTACGGATGGCAGAGTTAGGTTGCTTAGCCTCAATACCTCTGCACATCAAACAGCCATTTGCAAATTTAAAAAATGCCAGTAGATCATACAATGAATGCCAAGTACAACAGAATTAATAGGCTTACATCTTCTCAAGAACAATGCCTTTAGCGTGAGAAGATCCTGCGAATGGCTTCTTCCACTCATTCCCAAGGTGGGACTTTTTATATGATTTGTCAGCCCACCTTTGCCTTCTTCGGTGGGACTTCAGCTTGCGACCAGCTCCCATACCACGTGTCTTCCTGAGAAGAATAGGCCCATTGTTTACATATTTATCAGGGAAAAAATAAACGTACATACCAATTTGCTATTCCGTATTGATAGGAAAATTGAATCCAAACAATATTATAAAATTACAAGATAAAATTCTAATTACTTATCGATAATAGTTCACCAATTTAAATAAACACTCATCAATGGAGCTACCTTGCTGCAGTTTCAGTACATTTTAGTACTACATATATCTATATATATGGATGCCAACTCAACATACTAAAAACGATCACATTAATGCCCTTAACAGTTTTGAAATCTACATAAACATACCAGAAACATATTGGACATCAAAATGGATAAGATGCGGGATCTACCTTCAAGCAGTGACATACCACAAACTAAATATTTCTTTGCCGAAAAAATCAGATTTTGACATGAGAGTGGCTTCCTATTATCATTGAAGTTTAATTTCCTATCCAATATAGTTTTTGATATTTACATATACTCTCTCAAAACTGAAAACAATCTGATATGATTATAATGGACGCTTATGCAATATTTATATCAAACTCTAAAATAATGTAAAGGGATAAACTATTTCTTATTCCATTCACAATTGTCCCTCGAACACTAAAAATTGCAAGAAAACAAATCAAAACATGAATCTGCTGCAAATAGCCTAGAATCCGGACTATCAAGTTAAGAAACAAAGAACCAAAACACAAACAAACCTCATAGAACTGTACAGTGGAAACTAGTAGCTTCCATGAAATCATATTATCGCATGATGTAAGCAATAAAATGCTAATATCTAATAAACTTTGCGTGCCGTCAGGATTAACGAAAAGGGGAAAGAATCTGAAAGAGAAAACATACCCCATGGCTACTGTGAGAAATACTTGACTGCGAGTCTGCGATGAGGCTGAGAGAGTAGAGAACCGAGAAAGCAGCTGCGGCAAATTCAAGAAAACCCTAACCTAAATTTTAAAGAGGATAATAACTGGTCGGTTTGGGTTTAATAAAATACACGCTTTGTTTTGTGGGCTGCTTATTAGATCAATAAGAGTTGGGCTTCATTAGTATATTTTATGGGCCGGTTATAATTACATGAGAAAACATACACATAAATTTACAGTCATTAGTATATATATAATTATATAATATATTTAGTAATAAGTACAATAAATTTGTATAATTAATAACAAATTAATTTGTATAATGTTCTTATTTTGTTTTTAGCTACTTGACTTTATTATTCTTCATATATACACTGCATGTAATATTATTTTTCTATTTAGCTTAACACTAAAAGTTAATATAATACTCCTAATAATGATTTAAATTACAAAAGGATATAAAATATTTTATTATTAAATTGCAATAATTCATTCCTTTCATTTTTTTGGTTCTTCCCTCGTCAACAAAGACATAAACGACATTTTTGATCATTTTTCTGGTATCATAAGCAAAAAATAATCTGCGAACAAGAAAAATAAATAAATAAAATAAGAAAATGGAGAGAGAAGAAAAAGAAAAAAATAAAATTTAGAGGGTTGAATAGAGACTTCTCAAGATTTTTTTTTTAGAAATTATTTTTTATAGTGAATATGTCGTAGAATATGATACCTTACATTATATCTTTAAAACTCATGAAATAGTAACTGAATGAGCAAACGTATTACATAATATAATCATATTACTCACATTCATGAGCACGTCAAGAGATACCTAAGTAGTAGATGTATTGCAGGATGTGATCTTATGTATCGCATCCTCGAGGGCATTGAGAGTTACCTAGCCGGTGAATGTGCTACAAGATGTGATTATGAAGATCACATAATTAATTATATATAAATATTTTTAAAGTGATGTATTGCAGGATGTCATGCACGCATGCAACATTATAATTTTAAAAGTCACATTTATCTTTTGAAATTGTGGAGTTAGATTTCACAATCCATTGTGTCTGAAAGTTCGTTACTATTTGTACTTTTAAAATTTATTTTCTTGCACCTTTTTAAATAATTTTGAGAAAATATTTTAAAAAATCAAGTAAGAAGTTTCTTCCATTTTCTTGAGTTTTATTTGAATCATAAGAGGCTTTTCACTTATAAGTCAAGTCTATTAAGAGAGCAAATTTTTTCTTTAGTCTTATAAGAATTTTAGAACAATTTTTTTAATGTTCATTGAATTTATATAGATATTTAATGAACTATACACGAGAACAACTAAATTCTCCTAAGATATTATAAATTAATAAAATTTTAAATAGTTGACATAAGAAAAATGACGTAGGTACAAAGTTAAAATTTAACTTTTATAAAATTGCATTTAATTCTCTCATTCTCTCTTTTAGATTTATTTTGCTATGTTGTCCTCTATTGCTTTAGATTTACACTTTACTTCATCAATCTCAAATACATTCTTATTGAATATTAGCTTAAAAGTTGAGATTTTGAAAAACTCAACATAAATCCCCTCTTAGGTTGCCTTAGATTTGGACCAACGACATGTAATTACTATAATTTTCTAATGAATGATAATTACTCATCATAGATAATAACTAGTAGTATTATCTGATAGTAATTTCGACTAATTATTTAAATTATATATAAATTTAACTTTAAAATAGACTATTAGTTACTATTATATTTATATTGTATTTTTATTTCAAATTAAAATTTACAAATTAAAGTTTGAAACACTTTGAGTCCGATTTGATTGTGGTTCATTAATGTCTGATATAGTACTGAGATGATTTTGTCTTGTTTGAATCTATTTCGAAATATATGGTATGATTTTTTTATTGTTGTTGCATAGTTCTTCAATCCACCATTTTTTCTGACTTT